CTGGACCATTTCTGAAGGGAGCAGCCATATCATTCAATGATGGCCCTCTTCCTTCATTCGGTCCTTGTTCAGGCTCATGATTATGATTTCCATTGTTATCATTGTTTACAACCTCCTCCATTGTAATGTTTCTCAACCTTTGAGCTCTTCTTCTATTTCTGAAGGTTCTCTCGGGTTCTGGATCAAAAAGTACTATTTCCAGTCCAAGTTCTGTAGGTTCTGTGCTCATACAATGTAGGAGGTCTATCAAAACAAAAAGACTGCAATTAAACAATAAAAATGTTTCCTTAAAAACGCTCTATCTTGCCAAATGATCCCCGGCAACGGCGCCAATTGCTTGGTCGAACCAAAAGTTGCTCGGGAATATCTTTCCAGAGAGCAAGAGTGCAGAGTAATAATCAGGATTGCCAACAGGAGCAATCTACTCTGACTAAGAGCAACCCCCTTCAACTATATGCAAGCGTACTGTCAAGCAATATAGGGTATTGTAGCCCGAGATTTATCGTCCTCAGGGAGCAGTTGTGAAGTAAGAAGCGCTAAAGGAAACTTAATTTGTAAAATGGAGCAATAAAAGAAAGTACTATTCTCAGCTAAGCTTCACAAAGAGAAATCTCTGGGCAGCTAGTTAAACAATGTTAACCATTCTGAACCAGATGAGAGCAGTGAATGACTTAGCACGGTCATCGAATAAAAGGCATCAATTTAAGTAACTTCAAGAGCGGTCAACGAAATGAAAGTAAAAGCATCAGCTGGTAAAACACAGTTCAGTTATCGTGAGGAAAAGGTTGTGATAGAAGTTTGAGTTAAGATTAATTTCAGAAAAAGTCAAGTAGGTGTTACGGGTTCCATGTTTTCATCCCTTTGGTTAAACCTGCTTGGTAGCATAGTTTACAAGTGGATTTTGCTCCTTCCCTTGTTTTGCTATAGGTAAGCAGAGGGTAAGGTCTTACTCTCCACGTTACTCCATAGTACTTGGAGTTATATGCAAGGAAACCATGCTGCCTTCTCAAAAGAGCATGGATTCACATGGCAGTGCTCCTCATTCCAGGTGTTTCTCCCTCCTTTCTTCAGGCTAAACTACCCCAGGATCTTGATAATGCTCCACACACCTTTGTCAGTGTTTCATCAACCGAGTGGTCCCGGGATGAGGTTGCCAGCCCAAAGGGTTTCACAAAATCAATAAATTAAACCAAAGAGCAACTCAAAATTCATTTATAAAATATGTGTTCCTTACAAAGTTATCCTAAGACAAAAGGGATTACTTCTATGGAACCCTCACCCACTTAGAGGAAGTTAGCTCCTAGTGAGCATTTTTACAAAAAGAAAAACAAAGAGATAACAAGTCCTAGGATGGGCGCTGATCCCCATTTTATGAGGATTGCTTGTTCCTTTTATAGGGTTCTTCATTTGATCTCCATTGTTCCTTTCATCAAGGGTCGTGCTTTGTTTAAATCCTCTCCAATGGTAGCTTTGCTTCTTGCCAGCTCAGCTCCGAATAGAGATCCTCTCCAATGGTAGCCTTGCTTTTTGCCAGCTTGGCCTTAAATGGAGATGGTCCCCCTTGCTTTTGGCTCCCTTTGTGAGTAGGAGTATCGGATTCAGGGAGGCACCTCCACTCCTTCTGCTGCAGCTGACGTGGCTGCTTTTGATTGCTCAGCTCCTTTGCTTTCGTACTGTAGCAGAGGTAGCACCTCCACCTTCTCTGCTGTGGCTGACGTGGCGGATTCCCATAGCTTCCTTTGACTGCTGTTGTACTACAACAGGCTTTTTTTCTTCCTGCGCAACACTCCTTCTTCTCTCTTCATTTTGTGGTTCCTTCTGATGGGCCTTAGGTGTCCTGAACAAAACAAACTAACCCAATAGTCATATGTGAAAAAGATAATGTTAAATTTGCTCCAGGTCTACTTTAATTCCCACTTTCGGTATTGCTCTGGTCCACTATTCAAAACAGTTGCTCTATATGGAAAGAAGAAGGTTGACGGGAGTGATTTATAACCAAACATGGGTTTTGTGGAACAATTTACACTTAATGGGCCTCAACTTTTGAGGACCATCAGTGAGGATTAAGCCTAAACAAATTTTTTTTCAAAGAGGCCTCATTGTAGTAGTTTTCTAGAACTTGAACTGTTTCTCTGGCTTGCATGCATTACTGACATGATAAAGGCATATTTATTCTTGTTAACTTAGAGCCAAACAGCCTACCTAAAAGAATTTTCCATTGTTCGCCCTTTTGAGTCTTGGACCAATTTATTCAAAAACCTGATGAATATTACTTAACCATTTCTCCATTGACACACCTTGAAAGAGATTGAAATGCTGATCAAAGGAAAAAGTCAAGGTACTTCTCAAAAGAAAAGTTAAGTAAGTTGAAAAAAGGAACATAAGAATGGCCTGCAAAAATACTTCAAAGAAAAAAAAAATTCTGAAAAAGAAAAAAAAGAAATTTGCAGCTCAAAAGAGAAAAGAAAGAAAACATTTGCAAACAAAGAAAAGAAAAAGGTAGTGAAAAAGGGAAAAGAATCCCAAATTGATAAAATGTGGCAGAATTAAAAAACTGAGAAGGAAGTAATGTCAAAAATCTCAGGACTTTAATCTTTCAAATTAATCAGCCTCTGACCAAAAGATTCTTACCCCCAAACCAGGCCAAGTTATAACCTATCAAAGACCTTTTGATCAGTCTATGCATGTCAAATGGGTTCCTCAATCTTAGGAATTGAGAATATGTTCAAGCTTATGGAATTACTGCTACACTGATGGAATGAGTATGAACCCCTCAAACACTAGAGCGATGAAAGTATATTTATCTGGTGAGGAATATTCAAGTTAGGATATGATTTCTTGATACAACTGAAAAGCATTGTTTGAAGTTTTAATAGGAAGTTATACATGCATAGCAATCTGATGTTCATGTTCCATGTTTTTCTTCTCAGAGTTAATCTTTGCCTTTGACTTTAATCTATTACATTGTTGAGGACAGAAACGTTCAAATCTGGGAATTGTTTGATATGTCTCAAGCATATATATAAATCTAAGCCAAAAAGAGAAAGAATATTGATTAATCTTGAATAAAAAGGCAATATTTACTGTTGATTTGTTAAAATCTCAATCAAAGATGGTATAGCTGATTTTCTTTTGATTTTGTAGGAAAAACAGGACAATAAGGAGTCAAATTTGGAAGTAAGAAATCGAAGTCCCACGCTAGTAGCGCCAGAAGCAAAAATCAGCCAGAGACATCCACGCTCACAGCGTGAAACTCACGCTAGTTGCGCCACAACCCACGCTCACAGCGTGGGAATCACGCTAGTTGCGTGGGCTTCCAGAACTGTGAACAAAACTCCCATGCTATCAGCGTGGAAACCACACTAGTAGTGTGGGAGGTGCGGGCAATCAGCATTAAATATTTTTCTGCATCAGTGGAAGATTAGACAGAGACTTACGACTAAGATTCAATCAAAATTTCTACACAAGGTCATAAACTCTATAAATAGAGACTCAGATCTCAGAGAAAAGAATCTTTGGCTGGAGAGAATTGTGAGGACCATAGAATTGAGAGAATTCTTGGAGACTCGTCCTGGAGATCAGGATTCCACCGGAGTTGAAGGCTGAAGACATTGAGTTTTTATTCTTCTTCTTCTTTTCTTCTTAGTTTATGAACAATTTTCCTTCTTTTAATTAGTTTAAGCTAGCTATGTCTGGCTAGTTTGTTTTTGTAGTTGGGATCACGGATCCGATGTGAATCCTTTATATTTTCTGTATTGATATTTTATAAGTTAATTAGTTAGTTTGTTTTATTCTACCTGGTTTAATTTTTCATATCCTGTTTAGAACTGATCACTCTAAATTATAGGGCTTTGAGGGTTAGGACTCACAATAGACATATTGGGGTTTTAGTCTGGACAAGGGTAGAATAACAATTTGTGTATGATCTAGACATTGGCTTACATAAATTGTAGACTCATAATTCATTTGCTTAATGCTTAATTCAAGAGGGATTACTAAGACATTAGGATTCTAATTGGATTAAAGGGTTGAAATCACTAAGACATTAGGGTTCAACTATTTTATAGAGAAATAATGAATTGTCTGAACAAACGAATTAATTAATTATAAAATATAATATAGGAATATAAGGGAGGATCGGAGGTGAAGTGCATCCTGGTTACATACTTTCTATAAATTTTTCATCAATACTTCTTGCGTTCTTGATCCTTTCTTGCATGCGTTCAAAATTAATTGTTATTAATTTTCTGTTTTAGATTTAATTATTTTTAAATTCTGTTTTAAATTTAATTATTTTTAAATTCTGTTTTGAATTCCAAAATCAATTCCTTTCACAAACCAATCCAAATTTTATTTTTCAACTTAAGGGGAATAGTTAAACTAATACTTGGTGCATTAATCTTCGTGGGAACGATACTCTACTTATCACTTTATTACTTAAAACGAACAATATACTTGCTGATTTCAAAGCATTTAATCTATAATTTAGAGAAACTCATTGGATGCCTCATGACTTTTGAGATGCAGTTTGAGTCTCTCAAACGAAAAGCCTCAATGACAAGAGATAAAGGAATAAATCTCAAAGCAGAATCTAAGAAAGATGAAGAAGAATCAGATGACAATGAGAGGAAGAAGAATATATTGTTTAATCAATTATTTGGGAATAATGTTGCAATTTTTTTTTATTACATGAGATAATATTATATTATTTCCAATTTCGTGAGATATTGATCACAACGTAAATATATGCTCAAGTTCCCCAGATGTGAAGAGGACGGAATTGAGAAAAAATTATTTATTGGTTAACTAATGGCATCTGTAATGAACGGCAGGCCACCCGATCCCAAATTTTTTCACAAGTTTTTAACGTTCAAACACTAAGTTCCATTTTTAAAGATCTATTTCAAACAAAAAAAGCCAATTTAAACTTGAACAGAAGCTCCTTCAAACACTAACTCAGATGAATCTGCCCACATAAATATCCTTTGACGTCATGATTTTTGTGAATATAACCAATCTAACGGTTATAATTTATTGAGAATTAATACTTGTCACCATTCTTAGCAAATGAGAAACATAAACTGGTAGCTGAACTCATTGAACAGTCATTATTACACAAAATGCTGGACATTGCAATATAAAGAAATGGGTACAAGAATACGTGGTTATAGAGCGAAAGACTGAAAAATGTGTCAGTTGACAAAACCAGTGCACACGGCTTTCACAGACATAAATTTTCAACTAGTGACGTTTCATTTCCTGGAATATATTCGTCACCTTTGGCGATAATCGTGGGAGGAATTTAAACAGCTGTATCACAAAAACAACAAAGGGGGATACGTATTAACATCTACAAAGTGATTGAAACGGGACAAATTCCAATAGTTGTATGCAGAATATAAGTTTTCAAAATCCTATTAATAGCATTCAAGACAAAGGCAGCGTGTTTAGCAGATTGCTGTATCAGATATCACAAACAAAACAGTCTATCCTGCCAAAGACTTCCATTTAAAGTTTCTTTTACGGTGAGTTTGGCTCAACAGTAAGGTTTTTGTAATCTATGGATTATAGTTGTGTAAACATCCTCCCCACTTACAAGGGTAAGGTGGTGCATATTTAATGCTCGCCAAACCCCACAATGGTGAGAGCTTCATGCATTGAACCACCATAATTTGCAGTATGAGCGGTTAACAATATCAGGTGAGAGTCCTATGAAGTTAGGAAATTTCGAAATATCAGGGATGAGAGGAATCCGAAGTTTGGGTTAATGGATGACATACGAAGGTATCCCATGTGAGGAATAAGCAATATTGCTGACTCCAAATTTAGTCTGGGAGATCCCATGTTAAGAATTACAGCACAAGTTTCCAATACTAAGAATTATACGTTTCCCATTTTTTGATTGCTCCTCTAATTACCTATGCAATTACTCATTTGATTGCTTCTTGTAATTACTCTGATCCTGCAACTGCTTCGTACATACTATCTATAAATGAGTTCGTCACACATTATAATCATGGTATACAAACTTCTCTCTGTGTGTCTAGCTTTCCCGTATCAGAGGGTTCATTGCTTTGATTACCTCATCTTTCACCCTAATGTTACCTATGACTGGTAGCTGCTACCAGTAAAAATAACAACCAATAAGGATTATTGTTTGTGGGATTGCAATCCACTAGAGATTGCATAGAAGCGATGGAAATGGTGATTGCTGGTCTGGGTACTGGTCAATGGTGGTGAATTCTGAAAGTCCAAGTTGTTAGGTAGAGGCCAAAGAATGAATTTATATTTCTAATATTAACAAATACAAAAAATAAAAAAGGACATGGAATCAGGAGCATTTAGCAGTCACTAAAGAAAAGAACATACCCAAAGTTTCACGCATGCATCAATGATAACTGGGACCAGGCAGACAAAAATAGTTATAGCAGACTGATCAGCTTCAAGCCCATAGTGCTCAACAATTATCTCTAGCAAAGTTTGCCAACCAGATTCAGAATGATACCTGCAGACGTTCAGTATGCAACAAAAGCGGTCAACAACATATGTAACCTCGTCCCTCCCCCGGTGCCAACAAAAAAAAGAAAGATAAAAAGATAAGAAAAGGAAAAAATGGCAAGACAAAACAGGCTATTTAAACCATATTGAAGACATAGTTCTTTTACATGAAAACATCAAGTGTTAACTCAGCTGTGAAGATCTTGCTTAAAGCTATAAGTTTTTCATTAGGCCTGATTCAAAAGTCATGCTCTAAAATGGAAATTCGGGATAGCAAATTTCCTTTTCAGATGTCATTTTTCTGTTTAATAGCCAGATGAAGTTTTGAACAGTAACAGGACACATTTGCTAATAGAAGAATTTCTCAGTCATTTTGCACCTTGATTTGAACCTTTTTTAAGCCAATGTCAACATAGATTCTTTTACACTAATAGCTTGTTTCGATTTGCTTAATTTTTAGGGAAAAGTTACCTTTATATTTAGAAAAAAAGCTTTCGTAAGATTTGTGATTATAAGTTATTTTGAACCGAAAATAAGCTAATCCACACACACGAAACAGAAAGAACATTAAATTTAAATTCATATGAAACGCAAATTCACTCTTCTCATGAATATCTTTCTGTGGCTTAAACTTCACAGATTCGAAGAAACTTCAAGGCTGATAATGACTTCAAGCCCACAGCCTGTTTTTAATGAATTCCTATCTCTTCTGGCAATGTAGAAAGCTAACCATTAACACAAGACATTCCCTTTCCAAATAATTAAAAAAAGTTTTTTCTCTCACTTCTTGAAATTATTGGTATATTTTCTAATGCTATAATACTTCTTTTGAATGCTTTAGTAATTGGTGCAGGTGATATCATAAGCAGCATCAATAATTCATTAGAAGGAAAGTTATGCTGAATGGAAATCAATTACCAAGCTGTAAAAGGAAATTACCCTAGGAAGATATCTGTGATAAGTATAATCAGAAACGCCTTCCCAGTATCTGAAATATTATTTATTATTTTATAACCAGTAAATTTGAGCAGTGCTACCTGCACAACAGGAGCAAAGAAGCAAAAAAAAGGATAATTAATAGGTATTTCAGATAAAAGTACAAAATAAAATATTAGCAAATATCAACAACCGAATTTGGGAAATAAATTAGGAAATGGATATATTCAAAATGCAAATGCCTAAACATAGCCCAAATCTGCTGCTGTGCTACCGAAGCCTCCTTAAAGATAAGAATGTTATGCTTCAACCAAATGCACAAAATAATAGCACGTACACATTGCCAAAAAAATTAGCGTCCTCAATTCTACCAAAACCATTAAAATTAGTCACTGAAACACGGTCCAAGAACCTACGGCGCACCCAAATTCACCAAAAAGGATGAACAATTTATTCCCTAAAGAAACAGCAGCATAACAATGTTAAGAATGGATTAGGAACAAATCCTGAACAATCACTACACATAGCAAACATAATTAGGAAAAGAACTTCACATGGCCAACAAACTTGCAATACATCCACTGGCGATGATTCAATTAAGAACCACAGTCCAAAAGAAAAACTTGACCTTAGAGGGAGATTTGAACTTCCAAATGGGTTTATGAAGATGGAAATAGATTCTCCCTCTTTTCTCTTTACGCACTTGATCTTAACTGTTCTCAATATCCCTCTCAGGTATTTTGATAGGATAAATCTCCTCCTATCGAAAGAGAGAGAGGAATCCTGTATATTTCTGTTTTCAAATGTAAAAGGAAATACAAGGAAATGGTTCAGAGCCTAAGCTCCGAGCAATGGAGACTCTCCACACCCTCTACAAAGTGTAGAATAAGTGAAAACAAGCATAAAAAATGAAAGAAGGTGCCTCGCAGCACTATAAAGCTAATTACAACAAACTCACTCCCCAGACAGCACATCCCTCCCACTACTGAATAACTAACTTGCCACCTCAGCGTCGTTCCCTCCTTTTCCCTTCTTGGGTCCTCTACGTTGGTATTGTATAATTGGGTTGGCCCATTTACTCTTTGGATTGGACCTTGAGTCTGCATTCCTATCTGTTGAGATATATAGTCCCACATTGGTTGAAGAGCAACCAATGTGGGAGTTTATAAGACCTTGGGCATTCCCATCCTTTGAGCTAGCTTTTGGGGTGGTGTATCTCAAGGTTCCTTACATGGTATTAGAGCTTGAGGTTCGATCCTCACCGCCCCCCACTTTAAAGTGGAAGCACAAAAAAAGGTAAACCAAATATTGGGCCTGTTGCATAATCCACGCTTCAAGCCAAGAGGGCTCTTGCGTGAGGGGGCGTGTTGAGATATATAGTCCCACATTGGTTGAAGAGCAACCAATGTGGGAGTTTATAAGACCTTGGACACTCCCACCCTTTGAGCTAGCTTTTGGGGTGGTGTATCCCAAGGTTCCTTACACTATCATATTTGGTTGTCCTTGTTTTGTACAAAATACGTAGTCCTAGCATACTTGTCAGTAGCAGGTAGCGGCCGACCTCAAAAATGGTATAGCGGTGTAGCGGGAAGCGGTATTGCTGCTACGGTGTATTAATTCCACATATATTATACTAACAATCTAGTACTAAATTGAATCTGAAATATATTGTATATTCAAGTGTGTAAGTCTGTACAAGGAGGCTCTCTATTTATAGAGACTAAAAGACCTAATGGGCCAAGCCCACAATCTAGACTATTCTAATAATAATAAATTAATATTATTTCTAACACTCCCCCTCAAGCTGGTGCGTATATATCAAAAGCTCCCAGCTTGTTACAAATATGATCTATTCGGGGACCTCTAAGAGCTTTAGTGAATACATCCGCAAGTTGATCATTGGAATTGACAAATGTTGTCTCGATCTCCCTTGACTGGATCTTTTCTCTAACAAAATGACAGTCAATTTCTATATGCTTGGTCCTCTCATGAAAGACTGAGTTAGAGGATATATGCAAAACGGCTTGGTTGTCACAAATGAGCTTCATAGGCTTTTGTTCACAGAGATGGAGTTCCTTCAGCAATTGTCTCAGCCAGATGAGCTCACAGGTTGCATTTGTCATTGCCCGATATTCTGCCTCCGCACTGGATTTGGCGATAACAGTTTGCTTCTTACTCTTCCAAGAGATCAAATTTCCTCCGAAGAGAACACAATACCCTGAGGTGGATCGTCTATCTGAAGGAGAACCTGCCCAGTCAGCATCTGAATAACTAGAGATCTCTGAACTCCCTTTATTTGTATATAATAAACCTCTTCCTGGCGCATTTTTAATATATCGGAGAATTCTAATAACTGCATCCCAATGGGAGTCACAGGGAGAATCAAGAAATTGGCTTGCAACACTGACTGCCAAGGAGATATCTGGCCTTGTCACAGTAAGATAATTCAATTTTCCAACTAGTCGGCGGTAGCGACTAGGATCTGGCAGTGGCTCCCCCTGTCCTGGTAATAACTTAACATTGGGGTCCATAGGTGTATCAATGGGTTTACAGCCTAACATGCCAGTCTCATCTAGGATATCCAGTGCATACTTCCTCTGACAGATGGAAATGCCCCGCCTAGACTGTGAAACTTCGATCCCCAAGAAATATCGAAGTCTGCCAAGATCTTTGGTCTGAAAAATTGATTGAATAAATGTTCTTTCAACTGATCAATCCCGGTCTGATCACTGCCTGTAATGATAATGTCATCAACATAGACCAGGAGATAAACGCACTGGCCAGAAGAGCTATGCCGGTAAAAGACAGAATGATCGGCTTTGCTTCTGATTAAGCCAAAGGATTCAACAACTGAACTAAAGCGGCTAAACCAGGCCCGAGGAGATTGCTTCAGGCCATATAAAGATTTTCGAAGTTTACATATCATTCCAGAACTCTCCCCCTGAGCAACAAAACCTGGTGGTTGCTCCATATAAACTTCCTCCTGCAAGTCACCATGTAGAAAAGCATTTTTAATATCAAGTTGGAGAAGGGGCCAGTGATGAATGGCGGCAAGGGCAAGAAACAGGCGAACAGGAGCCATCTTAGCAACAGGAGAAAAGGTATCCCCATAATCAAGACCAAAGATCTGTGTGTATCCCTTGGCCACTAAGCGAGCTTTAAGGCGATCAACAGTGCCATCAGGACCAACTTTAACTGTGAACACCCATCGACAACCAACAACAGACTTCCCGGGAGGAGCACGAACAAGATCCCAAGTGCCATTGGAGTAAAGTGCCTGCATTTCATCAAGCATCGCCTGGCGCCACCCTGGATGAGATAGTGCTTCACCTGTGGTTTTAGGGATGGAAACAGAAGAGAGACTAGAAACAAAAGTAAAATGTTGTGAAGAAAGTCTGTCATAACTCAAGAAAGAAAAAAAGGGATGAGGATTTCGAGTGGATCGAATACCTTTCCGAAGGGAAATGGGAGGAGTCTCTGATGGAGGATCCGGAGGAGAAAAGCCGACGGGAAAGGGCGATGAGTCATCAAGAGGCAAAGTCGGAGGAGGTGCAGGCTGACGACGCTGGTATGTGAGGAGAGGACGATCTGCAGGTATGGAGGTAATTGGTTGCTCCTCTGGAATAGGGTCACCTGCAGCTGGTAAAGACAAGTCAAGAAAAGGAACAGGAAGTACCTGATTAACTTGGGACACTGGAGACGGAGTAGAGTGAAAAGGCTGCTGATCAAGGAAAGTGACATCAGCAGAAACGATATAACGCTTGAGATCAGGAGAATAGCAACGATACCTTTTTTGAAAACGTGTATACCCAAGGAAAATACATTTGAAGGCCTTGGATGTCAACTTGTCTTTACCTGGAGTAAGATCATGAACAAAACAAGTACAGCCAAAAATATGTAAAGGCAGAGGATAAGAAGGTGCTCCGGAAAACAAAATACTGTGGGGAACATCATTATTTAGCACAGAAGAGGGCATGCAGTTGATAAGGAAACATGAGGTGATAATAGCATCTGCCCAAAAACGGAGTGGGACGTTCATATGAATGAGAAGGGTACGTGCAGTTTCAACTAGATGTCTATTTTTACGTTCAGCAACTCCATTTTGTTGTGGAGTGTGGGGACAGGTAGTCTGGTGTATCGTCCCTTGTGTATCCAGAAATTTAGAAAATTCAAGAGACACATACTCTTTTGCATTATCACTGCGCAAGATTTGAATAGAAGCATCAAATTGAGTTTTTATTTCTGCACAAAACTTTTGATAAATTGAAAATAACTCAGAACGATTTTTCATTAAATAAACCCAAGTGCAACGGGAGAAATCATCAATAAAGGTGACAAAATACTGAAAACCCAAGACAGAAGTTGTTCGACTCGAACCCCAAATATCAGAATGAACAATAGAAAAAGGAGCATGAGCTCTTTTATTGACTCTATTAGCAAAGGAGGAGCGAGTGTGTTTTCCTTGCTGACAAGAATGACAGTTTAAAGACTTAAGATTGGATAAAAAGGGAACCGTATGCTGAAGCTTGGAGAGGTTTGGATGACCCAGACGACTGTGAATTAGCTCAGGAGACTCTGTGAGAGAACAGGCTACTGGAGAAGGTGGTGCAATCAGATAGTAGAGACCTCGTGACTCAACGCCTGCTCCAATCGTCTTCCCCGTACCCGAATCCTGCATAGAAAAGGATTGTTTAGAGAAGGTAATAGTACATGAAAGAGAATGAATCAACTGGCTAACAGAGATTAAATTAAAAGGAATGCCAGGTATATAATAAAAAGAACTCAAAGTTAAAAGGGGAGTTGGGTTGGCTTCCCCAATTCCACGAGCAGGAGCCTTAGTGCCATCAGCAAGAGTGACAGGTGGTAGGTTATTAGAATAAGAAAGTGAAGTGAAGAGATCTTTATTACCACAAAGATGATGAGTAGCACCTGAGTCTATTATCCAGGGTCCAAGAGATGATTGATAAAAACAAGCAACATGATTACCAGTGTCTTGAGTAGGATGCTGAGAAGAAACCTTCTTGAGAAGTGCCTCATAGTCGGCACATGAAAGAGTTACTAATCCAGTTGAAGGTGGCGTAACATCAGTTTGAGCAAAGTTGGCAGTCGGTGGCTTCAAATGAGGGTACTTCCTATAGCAGCGTTCTTCAAAATGCCCAAGATTCTGGCAATAATTGCAACGAGGCCTCTGTCTGCGGCCACGTCTGCGACCGCGTACACTGTTCCAATTGGAATCAGTGGCCCGAGAAAAGAATGGAGATGGGGTAGTACTGGAGATGATGCCAGTCGTGTTTTTGGACGCATTATTTGAGCCCTCCATCACAAAATAAAAGGAGATGACCAGAAAATAGCAAAGAACTACAAGAAAGCAAGAAATCGTGCAAAAACATTGCACAAAATTGTCCAAACAGCGGGTTTTTCACTGATATCTTTCAAACGGATGGGACCCACAACGAACAGAGACCAGATCTGGAAAGAGGGTGAGGAGGCGAGCAAGATGGTGGTGGTCCGGCCTGGAACGGTGGCCGGACGGTGGCTCACGCGCCGGAACAGTGGTTCGGCCGCCAGAGACTTCCACCGGCGTGTGGCGGCGCGTGGATGCTCCGATCAACACGCGGCTTGGACAGGCAGGGTCGCCTCCCTGAGCCGCTCCTGATCGCGTGGTGGTTGGTCGGAAAAGTCGCCGGAAAAGCAGTCTGACGGCGGTGAACAGTGGCGGACGGTGGTTTTGTGGCGGTTTCCGGCGATGAACGGAGGCTGACGATCTTTTTCCTAATGAAACGAGGTTGAGGACAAAAAATTTGTGACTAAATAAGGGTTAGGTGTGAAAGGATGGTTGCCGGTGTGATGCACGGCAGTAAAAAGAAAGGAAAAGATATATATGCGGAAGCAGAGCCCTCAGATCGAGAGCTCTAATACCAAATTGAATCTGAAATATATTGTATATTCAAGTGTGTAAGTCTGTACAAGGAGGCTCTCTATTTATAGAGACTAAAAGACCTAATGGGCCAAGCCCACAATCTAGACTATTCTAATAATAATAAATTAATATTATTTCTAACATACTACACAAATATAAATGCTCAAACATAAGAAGTCACACAAAATCAAACACATAATTCCACAATCAATGTCAAATACAAGGAACATAAAGGAAGGATCCAAAATTAAACACAAATGAACAATGAATTCCACAAAATCAAACACATAATTCCACAATCAATGTCAAATAACGAGTAGTGTCGTGTTGCATACTTGTAGACGCTGCTACGCTACATCACTACAGGCCAGCATTGCGTCGCGGTTGTAGCGGTCGGCCGCCGCTACCTTTTACTCTAGCGGTTTACCGGCGCTACGGGCTGCTACTGACAACCTAGCTGCTACTGACAACCTAGGGTCCTAGGTGACAAATTCGAACCCCAATCTCTGAATTGTGAATTCATAGGATAGTTCCAAACACAAAGAGTACTGTTGTTTCTCTTCTGATTGTTTTCACAGGGTACCTTCTTTTAATCTACACATTTCTTTCTGTAAAGAACCTTGGGATACACCACCCCAAAAGCTAGCTCAAAGGGTGGGAGTGCCCAGGGCCTTATAAACTCCACATTAGTTGCACATACAACCAATGTGAGACTATATATCTCAACACGCCCCCTCACACAAGAGCCCATTGGGCTTGAAGAGTGGACAATACAACAGGCCCAGCCTACCTGTGCTAAGAAACGCCACAAGAGAAAGTGGGGGGCGGCGAGGCTCTGATACCATGTAAAGAACCTTGGGATACACCACCCCAAAAGCTAGCTCAAAGGGTGGGAGTGCCCAGGATCTTATAAACTCCACATTAGTTGCACATACAACCAATGTGGGACTATATATCTCAACACTTTCTAGTGTAATCTCTCTCCTAGTGATTATCAGGATAGCTTTCCAATGTACCATGTGCACTAAACCATTCCACCTGCAAAGACCTAGCTGACTCCCTTAACCCACTATTACACTGACTGAGTGCAACAGTGTATTGTGGTTCCCCATAGCATATGACACCCCGCAAGTTTCACCAGCTCCCATCTATGGCCACTTCACACCTAAAGGTCATAACTCGTAATTATCCCATGCCAGACCATTTTGTTGACCTCCTTATTGATCTCTGTGAAGGTAAATGATCTTGCTACTAACTTATTACCTCATTTGACTCATATGATGGCTTATCTGCTTCTAAGTGCTTCATTGTTTCCTTAGACTCTGCCGGTTTGTAAGTCTGTTAAAGGTGCTATAGCTCATGGTGAGAGGTAAGAAATTATGCAGGAGGAAATGCTGACTCTTGAGAAAAATGAGACTTAGACATTTTTTTCTCTTTGCGAAAATAAATGTCATAGTGCAAGGCTAAGATCTCAAATACTTCTGAACAACAAACCTAAAAAGCATGTCAAATGCTCGAACCAAGAATCACAAATGATTGTAACTGAAAAACCGTCTGTATCCTCTAGTTTGATCTCCTGAAACATAACTATATCTAGCAAAGCTCTGTATATAAGCTCCTTGACCTTCTTTCACTTCTTGACATTTCTTTCTCTTAAGGAATTATTCTCTTATAAGAAAAGAAAATTTCTTCATCTAATATAGAAAGTATAATTGTGTCTTGGGTATTCATTGTAGTTAATAGAAATATATTGCAAAGTAACAGTGATGTTTACGGTAGAAAATAAGTCCAACAAAACAGGAAATGCATTAAGACATTTAGCAGAAAGAAAAATGGTAAACTTACTTTACTCTTATTGAAGTATAAAAGAATAAATAAAGAGATCCCGTAAACCATATCTGACCATATGTTGGCAAAAGCTCTTCGATTCTCCAGTCTCCAGTCATCTCTCAACTCTAATCTGTTGAAGAAACAAATAGAAGGGCAATAAGGATAACAAGTATACATCAACCAAAGGTCATCTTAAATAATGACTCTTACAAAGTAGCATAACAACAAACGAATCTCCTTTTGCTCAAAGCCTTCACCATTTCACAGGGTCTTTTATAACACAGAATGCAGGTGAAAATGCCATGCAAATTTAGAAGATTAATGAGGGCATATATTAAAGGACAGGAAGTTATAGTGCACACTCTTTAGCATGATTGGCTTTCTGGACTTTCATACTGAATTTAAAGTTCCATTTAATGCTTATATTCTGGCAACAACTATAGTACCTGGAACGGGGAAAAGAAAGAGCACCATTTAAGATAATCGGGCAAAGGAAAGAAGGATTAATCTTACGCTTTATGCCTTAATTCCCACCAAATCTCATCATCAGAAAGTGGTGGAGATTTACCAATCTCTACCTCAAGCTCAAATCGCCCTTTCTCAGTTCTTAATTCCTCGATTATTTTAAGTTTTTGATATCTTCTCACATCAAGCACTTGTGCTGCAAGTGGTACTGTCTTCACATATCTGTCAATAGCAAAAAGTTAATTGACCAGTCAAAAGAAAAAGTTCAAGTCAAGAAGTTTAAACTAACACATAAGTAAAAGATGAACAATCTGAAAATATTTAACTCAAAATCAAATAAAGAAAAAAAAGAAATGATAAAAGTCATAGTTTTCTTTCTAAAATAAAACAAAAACAGTAGCAGCATATAAAATCATCAAAACCACAAGGCACTGATACTGGATATTCAATGTGAAAATGATAATATATATATCTATTGTCAACTTTCTTATTGTTATACCAACTCATCCAGAAGCTTAAGCTATTAGATAAAATCCCATGAATAGTTTTATATCTCTGACATGCCCCATCATGCAAAAGCCACTTCGAAATGTAGACAATGCACAGGTACACTATAACTTGTCCTGGGGACATAAAGAATCAAACTCCCAATAACTTAGTCATAGAGGCTTCCTACGAATGAACATATTTAACAATGGTATCAAGGCTCTTATAGCCAAGTGATCATGAGTTTGATCCTTATCTGCCTTCTTCATAATTAACTTAATGTTCAAGACCAAAGATCCCTTGCGTGAAGGCCTAAATGGACGTGTTAGAGATATAAAAGCATTTGTAGACCTCCACTTAACAGCTTATGCTATTGGGAGAATTGGTCTTTAACACAAATACATTTGAGATGGTACAAGCAATACTACATCATGTGCTGCTCTGCTATTATAAAATGTTTTTTCTTTTATTAAATTATGCAACGTTTGAAAGGAAAAAATCATATTCAGGCATATGACTAATTTCTGTTGATGCTATATTCTTTGGCAGAGTATTATGAGATTAGCTATATCTAATATCTTGGCCTTTTTTCTCAGATTGTACTTATAGGTTCCTACTTGGTAGGTGATTCAATGACACATGATAGTCCTTTACACACTGAGGTTCCTTAGCATGGGCATTGAGCAACCCATTGCATGTCAGATTGATCTCATCACTTCAGCACTCCGCCTCATTCCATGGACTAAAACTCTGGCTTTACCCACTAGAGTTTCACATAATATGCAAGCCATTCCAAGCCTAGCTACTAGTCATCCTCCTTGTTCGCCAAACATATCATACCTCTACAAAATCACATGTATATCAGTTTGTGTACATACCTTCAAGCAATCTAGCAAAGCAGAATAAAATTCTGCCAATAGAAAAACATTTCACGAATTCAGAAGAAAAATATTAGATTTGAGTAATAGATTTGGTTTCCAATAATTACCTGTCTAAAAAAGGCATAAGTATATAGTCATGAACCAGAAAGTCCATTGCCCAAGGTATAATAATCAACACTGCCAAAAATTTAGCCTGTAATAACAATTTTGGTACATGGAATGGAGTTACTGATTAGAGAATATATTAAGCAAGCACTAGCACATCATTCACTTGGTATTATGACAAGTTTTGGAGGCTGGGTGATGTTTGGATGATTCAACTGAAAATTTGACATCATAGGTTTAAATGCTGCCATAAAGAATAAGTTCAATATTATGATTAAATATTTGAATTGTGAGAGTTAATTTCTGCATCTAAAGCATAGAACATACGCATACGCATACACATACACACAATCCATATATCTTCAAACACCAGGGATATAATGCTGAGTAACAACAATTTTTATTGTAAGTTCATGCATTTAGAGTTGGCGATTATGACATTGCAACTCGAGTTGCAGCTGCCGAGCTTAAAATCCCTGATTCCCCTCACCCTTGTTGTACAAGGGTAGAAGATGCCGCAGAAGTAAAGCTATAAGGTAACAATAATATGAAAAAATTTTACATAAATGACAACCATTTTATGACAAGAAACATGCACATACCGAATTCGATGATGCATACTGGAAAACACGGTCTTCATAAAGCATGTCATCATCATCTTCCCCTCCAAAAATCAAATACCTAACAGACTCTACGAGCCCCTTTTCATTTTCGGGGGCAACATCAGCGGAATCAGCTCGCACATTTTCCCTATAATCCTTCATACCCTTCTCCCAGTCTTGACTCCAAGAAGAACTATTATCCTCCACATCAGTCCCATCCAAAAGCCAATCTTCCCATTTTCTGTGGTCTTCGTTCCTCCTATCTTCTTGGGCTTCCCTTAACTCTATAATTGCTTCAGCTCTCTGCTTCCATGCCTCAAACTTTTCATCCTCAGATAACTCTTGTGTGCTCGACCTCTCTGACTCACCCTCACCCTCAAGCATATCATCGTCCTTCAAACCAAGCCAATTCCCATCGTCTTGGAAAAAAAAATTCTGCCACCAACTGTTTTTCCTTGAATGGCCACTATTATTATGCTTTTCCGCTTTAGAAATGAACCTATTATTAAGCCTCCTCGACTTGCTGCCCAACTGAATCACAAAATTGGATGAACCATGCGGGACGAAAGAGTTCAAAAGCAGTTTCTGATTATACAAGATTAAGTTATCGCATAACACAAATGAAGAGCTCATCAAGAACATGAATATATGCCCACATTTTTCAGCTTCTCAAACACCCAAACCCAATTGAATGCACATTCTGCACCAAACTACGCATCTTCAATCCATATTATCCAATTTGCGCCTTACTGCCTCACTATTTATTTATGTGTCCGTAAAATACAGCAAAAGGACTTCACATTACATTACACCTCAGCTTTTGAGGGTGACATTACCCCAGCCCAGCCCAGTCATGGGCATGGCTATTGTTCCGCCACGTTCCAAGATTAATTTACACTTTCTAGAAAAAGAATATATATATATATATTTTAAAATTAATATAGACATTGAATGAAAAGTAAATTAACCAAAATATAAATTTTTTTACGGTTCGCTTTTTCTCACAGTAAGCTGTTTTGGGTGAAAATCATGATGTTTTTGTATTTTTAATTTATTTCAAGGTTATTATAGTTTTTATAATTATAATTTTTTAATATTTCAATTTCAAAACGACGTCGTTTTGAAAGTAAATACAGATAACTTATATACATTAACTGTAAAAATATTTTTCTGATTTTTTTATCATAAAATTATGGGAGAGACCTAATAAATTATAACAGTTAGATTGACAGAAATCAACGGTTGAGATTTAATAGTAAGAAGTAGTAAGAAAAAGAGGTAGTAACTATAATCTTCCACCAAAATTTTATTATAAAATTTTATTTACAATATAAAAAATAAAAAACAATAACCATTATCTCTTTTTTTGTTTTTTTTTTCAATTCTACTATGCATATACCGAAGTTTATTTTGGTTTATGCACAGTAAAATTAAGAAAATCAAACCAGACTTTAAGTTTTATTAATAGTCTTTTAGCAGTTTCAATATATGGCCATATATTACACATGAATTCAAGAAAAAGACTAAAATATGTGTACTCTGCCTTTTTAAAAGACTAATACCACTTCCTTGATTATATTACCTCTATTAGATAGATGATGAATATACTCTTCGCTGCTAATCTTATTTATTGTCTTCTGTACAAGTTTCTCATGAATCTCTTACTCTACAGATGTAGATGGATTAGATATAGATACTCTCTCCATGTCATCAAGACCGTGAATATTCTCAAATCCAGTTAGAGAGGGAAATAAGGAATAATTTATTTTAGTACAAATATATTGGAAGGGATGCTTACTAGTGTCTTTTTAGTTTCATGATTTTGAAGATTTTTTTTAATCATATCTATCATAGTACAATTATGAGAAAAAACTTCTCTCTAAATAATCAAAATTGCTGCTTAGATATTTCATAAAACAATGTGAAGTGACATTGTTACCTTCTCGAGGAACAATGATGTTCTATAAGAATATAGTGTAATATAAAATTGGAATTGATCTAAATGAAGTTAAGCTGTTTACAAGTACTATTGTTTACTTTATTTATTATGGACACTAGAGTAGTGAACTCTGATAACAGGACACAGGATATTTTTTTGAAAATCTGCGTATCGGACACGTGTGTCTGACACAGATATATTTTGACACGTTTTGACACGTGTTTGACACGCGGTCAATATTTTGGGACACGTGGTCAACTCTTCGACACGCTCTAACACGTTTTTTGACACACAGTCAACTTTTTCCGACACGTGATCAATGCTCGGACACGTTTTTTTTTATTAACTAAAAAAAATCATTTTTAAATCAATTTTTTTTTTGTTATGAAATTTGACATGAAAAATTAACAAGGTTCGAATTTTTTTTTTTATATTTATGTTATAAAATTTGAATATTTGATTGGTTATATGACTCATTATATACTATTATATGTATTAAATATAAATTATATTATATATATTAAAAATATTATTTAATATCAAAACGTGTCTTAACGTGTCAAAAAATGTCATTTTCTAAAATTAACGTGTCGGCGTGTCGTGTCGTGTCTCGTGTCCCGTGTCAGTGTCCGTGCATCATAGGTAGTGAATATACATGATCAATAAAAATACTCCTAAATGTAATCAGGGACGGAGTTAAGGGCTAGGGTTGCTCCCTCTCCTTAAGTTGGAACTTATCTACAGCTATTGTGTTACTTCTGTTACTTATCTACGTATGCATAACGCTAAAAGCCATGACTTTAGCTTTCATGTTACAGATAATATTTTATCTCTTTTCTGATTTCTACCAACTTAGTCTTGTACAGTTGTCCTAAGCAATCATATAAAAGAAGAATCATGTAAATCAATTTTATTTTTATAAAAGAAGAATATTTTAGTAGCAAGAAAGGAGAGAAGGTACATCTGGGAGAAAAATAAGGAATCCTCATAAGCAGAAGCTTATTAGAAGATGTTCCAAGCCTTGTGCTTCCCTTCATTTTCCTATATGAAACAGATTAGTTATTCTGGGAATAATAACACAAATTAAAATAGATAAACCTACAGAAAACATAAATCAAATTAAGTTGTGTTTCTGGTGTATTAACCTTCTCTAATGCAAATTTCATTTCATTACAAGTCAGGCTAAAGATTTGGCTTAGACAATGTTCTATTAGGAATCCTACTCGCTCCATTTTAACTACATTTTCGAGCCCCCTTTGTAACACCTTGTTTGTAACAGTTCGTTGTACACCGGTATTATTAACATTGATTACGGTATTAAGCGCAGTTACAATCATAACAGTTCATTTAAAAATGCGAGTAAACTTTTTCCTTTTCATTACGTCATCTTTTAAAAGCAATAATAAAATGTAATGACATAAGCTGTGATCATAACTGAATTCTAAACGCAGAATAATTAAAATAAAAGCCTAACAATCATACATTACTTATTTTAAGACACTAAGGGGTTCCCATAAATCCACATAGCATAAAATTCACTTTTACGATTTTTTTTATAACTGAACATGCTTCAATCTTTTGGACACTGTGTGAAATATTCACGTTACTAACCTCTCATCTTTTAGTATGTCATTCTAGACTCAATTACCTTTTCAACAAGGTATCACATGCCTCATAAAGTTCTCATTTGCTTCGGTTATCCGTTTGAAATTAGACAAGCAAAGCTGTCAGTCAACCCCAAACAGGGCACCAAACATACATCATCATTTCTACAATTCTGAACAAACCACTCAACCAATTGCTCTCAAATTTTTATATAGTAAACTAGACACCTTAAGCTTTAATGTTACATATCATGAGCCTAATTTGAGTAAAAATTGAGGGAGAAACAATTTGTACAAGACAGGGACCCGAACAGCCCCCTGTGCAGGGCCATCTGGGCAGTCTCCACTCAAATGTGTCTACAGGTCGCTACACAGGTTTAATTGCTATCAAATTTTGACACAACATAGCTGACATCCTAAGATTAAAAATGACGTATGGAAAGTCCCTATTAGACCTCTGTAGAGGGAGATATGCTCTCCCAAAGTCAGCCTAAAAACTGCAATTTTAGTATAAATTTGACGGCATCTCCTTTGTTTATCCAACCTATCCCACTTTATCAAAATTGTGTTTTTAAGCCTCTAGGGTACCTAATAGAAAAGGGTGGCACACAAGGACCAACAATGCCTTGGTGCTCTTACAATCCATAACAATTAACAATATGTTCATCAATTTACAATCCATTCCTTAACTTTATCAAAACTTAAACTCATTACAATCACATTATCCAATTGCATGCAATTTTCAATAGACATATAAATCATAACGTAGAATAAGTCTATTGCCCTTTCATCACATACATGCTTTAAAATATTGCACAAAGTCCATAATTATCAAATTACAATTCTCCAAATGGTAAACATAAATACAAGGGAATCCTCAAAATACAACAAGATAAATAATCAACTAGACTTAGCCAAAATATAGCATGAACAAATATGACATGATGCATATCTCTAATACAATATACAATATTCATGCTCTAAGTCTAGCCTATGCAAAAAATGGACTCAAAACGCAAAATGCTCTCTAACTCCATAACTTCATCTTGTGGGCCTCTTGCCCATGGCTCCTGTCCCGCTACAACCACCTGAAATAATGCCCCAAACGCGGGATGAGATATACGAATATATCTCAGTAACCCAGAGGTTCTGGAGATCACTCCGCCCAATGGCTCACTCAGATGTAAATGTACAACAATGAATCATAACAACCAAAAAGGGATATAGCAAGGGATTTAGAGAAGTAGGGATGCATAGGGAGAAAACATACGATAAAGCTGGAATGGTCATACCCAAAATCACGCAACATTCGGTCTATTGGCCTCGGCATATAGCCAACGGGTATGCTCCCAGAACATCATTCAAGGCACCCTCCACCCAATACACCCGAGACATTCCTAGAGTGCTCCTCAACGTATAACAGCTCTATAGCCCCAGGCTAACTGGAACTCCCTTACGGAGACCTATCAAGTGGAAGTCCGTAACGCCATAAGGCAATCTATCTACTGGCTGAGATACGGTATATCCTATGTACCCAATATATATACATATGCATGATCATGTTATAATCACATCATTGACATACAACCTCCAACCACTATCCCAATGGGCATGGTGGAGTACACACGCGGATTAATCCCAGTACCAAGAGATTACCTTATTGAAGATCCCAACTAGGTAGCTTCAATGCACGTTACACCTGAACTTGATCCAACCAGAAATGCCTACACAACAGGTCATTCCTATATACATTAGCATCACATAAAGACCACTTGATTATTCAAGCATTCGTGCAATTTTGACATAAATACTTACCATAATCCTTTTGGTCAAGGACCAAAGGCAATCCACCAAGCTCAATCCTCAAGGATCACGTTTGTGGGAGGAACCCTACAATGATGACAAATAGGATCATCAATTCAATAGTGTATCAAATTGAAATACAACATATTACACTTCCCACTCCCACACCTAGGTTTGGCCATTTAGGCCCCAAGTACATAGTCATGTTGTTAATTTTATTTCAACATCCCAATGGCTTCCCAAGCTCATGACAACACCAATTCAAGTCCACAACATCATTCAATTACAACTCAGCCCCATTTTTCCTGAACTTTCTCTTCTAGGTCGAAATCACAAGCCACACACATCAAATGATTTTTCTTCCAATTCACATGCATCACACCATCATACAACCCATTTAAACTTAGCTCAAA